GAAGACTGCCTGTGCAAAAGTGTTTTAACAATCAGAAGTAAGGGGAAACTGAAAAAAATACAAAGCAAGCTCCCTCCAGATGAAAAGAAAGATGATGCAAATTATATTTAACATTAATTTAATGCAATTATATTTAACATCTGACAGATAGAAATACAACTGTATGAAGTGGTTGTTGGCTCCTACAGAGAAGATAGGACTGAGGAGCTGTCTTGCTCAGGAAAAGAAAAAAACAGACATTCTAAAGCTGCAATAAAATAAATGCAGGATAAACTACCGATAAGATATTGTTTTAAAATATTTTCCACCCTATATGTCCCATGAAATCGGATCCAGTAATGGTCTTTCATGTACAAAACTGAGCAGTTCCTTGTAAATCATTATGCTGAAGTATTAAGATGTTAAGAGCTACTGGAGAAAAAGTGGACATCTAATTTACCCTTATTATTAGCTAATGTGGACAGATGCCAGGCTAGTCTGGAGGAGTCATAAAACCACAGCATGGACTGGGATCAAATGCCTGATGGTGGCCTGAGTGTTTTCTAATTGGCAAGTAGGTCATGTCCCATCTGGTTTATATTAGTATTGTTCCACTGACTCCAGTGGAGCTGCAGTAATGTGCAGCACCTGAAGACTCAGACCTGTGTAAAGACATTGGAAATTTTCAATGGAAGGATTAATTTGCAACTCCTTAGTGGCATGCTGCGCTCACAGACCCACATCCCGCTCTGCCACAGTGGGTGTGCCAGCGAGCTGCAGCACTGGAGCTCTTCAGGGGCAGCGCTAGCAACAAGGGCACAGCCCACAGCACCTGCACATGGAGAGCAAGGCAGGGATGGTGGCAGCAACTGGGGACAGTCATGGTCCAGCTGTTGTCCTCATGCAGCTCTTTTCTCAGGAGCTGATCCAAGGCTGGCACCATCACAGAGCTGGTCAGGGTCGCTGGCAGACTCCCCAGTGCAGTGGGAAGACTGCAGAGCTTTTTGGGGTCCTTGGGTCCAAGAGTAAGTTGATACTAATGATGACAAGCTAAAACTTCTCAAATAAAGATTAAATTCTTTTAAGGTGCTTTTTTTTTATTTATATGATCAGCTGGTTCACCATGTGTAGGGATCAGAAGCACACAGCAGCAGCTACTAGTGTAAATTGCTCCAGCATCTTCTGAGGGACAAACACATTCCCTTCTTCTCTCATAAGCCAAAAGGTTTATGACTGGGAATCTCTGTAGAATAATCAAGGTGGAGTAAAGGGCATGTATCCTCCTAAATTGTCAGTTCATCGTGCTTACTTTGGATGTCTTGACCTGCAAGAAAGCTTATGAACAATTTGCCATTATCTATTCCTGCTATTGATGAGCATTTATAGTGACATTTTTTATTCTACTCTACCTGATCTCCCTACTTATCGATTAATTTACTTCCAAGTGAGAACACAATTAGCAAATTTTCAGTATCTGGCTCTTTTTTAGTTTCCCCATTGAAACTGCCTAAAAAAAAATTGCTGAAGACTCATTTTTAACTAGCTTTAAAACACGAATTTATTGCTATAGTTTTAAGTTTGAGAAGGGGGGCCTCTCTTCTTTTTCTTGCCCTTAGAGTAACCACTAATATAAAACTTCCAAGCTACTCAGTTCTCCTAAGTTTGTGTTTCATCATTACTAATGACATAAAGCAGTTTGTAACATTTGCAAGCAATATTTTGCTTTCCAAAAATCTCCTTGGTAAAGCTTAATTGTTTGGTAGAGTTAAGCATATAAAACACACTTATGAATACAACACACAGAGGACAGAATATATGGAGTTACACAGTCCCCAGGGCTTGAACACTCTTAAACCAGATGCTTTAGCAAGATGCCATTAACATGCTCAGGCCAACCCTCCCGCTCACACCTTCCCCCAGCACTGCTTTGCTATCACCCTATGCATTCAGCAGGGCTGCAACTGGCAATTTACTTTCCAGCCTAATCTTATCTTGCTGGTTTGGCCACACCTTTCTCTCCCAGCCGTGATACTGGCTGTCCCGGGCTTGATAAATTGAGGATGACAAATCACACATGACAGCAAGCCAAGTGGAAGGAATAGAATCATTGAAAGACATGCACATTAAAGCTGTGTATGAATAATTTAATAGGCACTTGAAGAAGAAATCAGGGTAAGATTTCTGCTATCAATACAGAAGCATTTGCTCCTCCAGATTTCATTAGTGCCAGCCCTCATTCAAACTTCCTTTCTGCAAAGGCTGCAGGAAGCCTGCTGACAGTGATCCCTTGCCTTGTGCTTCCTGTGGACTTTATCCATGCGGAAGCCATACTGGACCACACCAGAATTCTCAGGGAGGTCTGAAGTGGTGCAGGCAGCTGTGTCTGGGCTTGCTGGCATTCCAGCTGTGCTGGCTCCACACTGCCAGATGGGGTGTGGCAGCACCACAGGGCTGTGTGGGAAGGATTTGGTACTGTGGGAGAGGGGAAGGAGGTTGGGATTGAGCTGACCTGGAAGATACTTAAGTGAGAACAAAGTATTGTGCAGGTGGAGAAAGGCTGACCTTGTAAAACTCTGCTCAATGCCCTGAGCTCCTTGTTCCTCATCCTTTCACCTTTGCCCAGGCACATATGAGAATGACTTCCTAGGACTTTAGAAACTGTACGTCTGTAGCAAAACTTTGCCTCTTGGGTAGTTGCCTGTGCACTATGAAAGCTAAATCTGAAAACAAGAATCACAACTAAGCAGGTATAGAATTGGCTGTACGATGTTTTTTTTATGACTATAAAACACTATGTCAGCATATTTCTGTTTTGAATTAATTGCTTTTCTAATCCCTAATTGTTTTATGACAGATGAAATTGCCTGACTGGATGCCAACATGTATGAACTACTAAATGGTTCTTGCACCTTATTTTATGGTCTGACCTCTGCTTTGAAACAAACTGCCTACTAAACAAAATAAGTTTCCTTGGTTTTCTGATGACACGTATATGTGGATTTTGAGAAAGGAAAGCAGGCGTGGCAGTAAATTCAGAAATCACGAAAGGAAATATGTTGTGGTTATTTTTTCTTCTTTCTGTAATACACATAGCAGTAGACCCACTGAAACACCTTTCCTCTCCTGATTTAGTTTATCTGGGCTTGTCTGCATGTGGCTATAGTCTTGCCAGTTTATACAAAGCTCTAGGGTGTCACTGCAGATGATGCTCCATGTCACATCCCCTCTTTTTCAAGCGCTTCTCACACTCCCATCTCAGATTCGCATCCAGATGGTAGAGCAGTGGGATGCTCTCAGGAGGCCCTTGGGCTTTGCCATCATCCGGTGAGCCCACAGAAAGCACCCCTTGGTCTTGCACTATACCGCAAGCTTTGCATCTCTCCTGTGCCTGCAGCTACCCACAGCTCCTGGTGCGCTGCTCTCGTGGCTGTGCGTGCACAGGCTGAAGATATGCTGTTTCAGGAAACGATTTCTAAGGGTGGCAAAGGTCAGGCTCTGCATTCGCCATTACATGCCCATGGTTTGCAGCGATGTTTTTGTCAAGAGTAATCATTCTTTGTTGCCAAACTTTGCTGTCGAATTGGCGCTTGGCTCTTATTACACAGAGAAAATTTTTCTTGTGTATGTCCTCACTTGAGTGCTTGCTGCTTTATTTGTGCGGCTGACGCAAGGTCACCCATAGTACAGAAAAATTTTCTTTCAATGTCTGACTCAGGGCATCAAATTAGTTTTATTGAAACTGTCTGAGTGCACAAACCCAGGGCCAGAGCAGGGTCCACCAGCCTCCTGCTCTGAACACCAGGCACACACCTGCACCCCTTGCAGCTGGGTGTCCTGGCCTCCTCTCTCAAGTCCTAATTCCTCATCTCTTTTACATGCGGTCAGACATGGTGCTCCTTCCTGACTTGGAAAGAGAAATTTTGGGTGATCACATTTACGGCTTGGTATCTGCTGACCTCCCACAAGATCTCTTTTAGTATTCTTGTGTTGAACTATGAATAAATAAATAAACAAACATACAAATAAATAAATAAAGCCTTTTGGCAAAATGATTATTAAAAAGGAGGTGCCTAAGAAAGCATTTTTGGTGATATTAAGCAAAGGTGAGCAGGGATGCTGGAGCCTCACAGCTGTTCTGCAATGTAGTCTTGGCTAGTGCAGCAGATGGCACCAGCCTGCTAGCTGGATGTACAGGCTCGGGTCAGAGTCTGGTGTAGTCTTGGGGCTTTCTGGTCACCAAAGTTCTCGTTTTGAGAGTTAAAATGATGGGCTGCAGTCATAATGCCTCTGGCCTTCCACGTTCCCTCTTCTGCTTGTGCCCATTTGACCTGTCCCTCTTCCCATTGTTTCTATGTCAGGTGAGGCTGGATTTGGTTTTTTTCCATTCTGGTTTAAGAAAAAGGGTGAGTGCTTTTGAAAGGCTTGACCGTCCCGCTCAGCTGATTGAGCCATTTAAATGTGGAAATACTTTCCCTGCGTTTGCTTCCAGCTCTGTAGCTGAGCTTGCGAGACGCTGCAGCATGAGAGGTGGGCAGCTATGTCTCCATGCCTTTTGCTCTGTACTTCTGGTTTTAGAGTTGCGGCGCTCTTCTAACAGCAGTATGAGAACATCTCTGATTCCGCAAAAATCTGTTCCTGCGTGGAGGGGTGCATGCGGTGAGAAAAAATGTATGTACCTCCCCGTCGGGGAATCGAACCCCGGTCTCCCGCGTGACAGGCGGGGATACTTACCACTATACTAACGAGGAACTGTACGACTGCGGATGCCGCAGCAGTGCCTACATTGTGTTGGTGGCTGGCGGCCCGACGGTGGGCCGACCCCGCCCCTTCGGGCCAACCATGCCGCGGGGTGAGCCCACCCCGCCCCTCCGCGTTGCACGCCGGTAGCTGTAGTTCCCGGCGCGGTGCCCCCCCCGGCGGGCGGAGGGCGGCACTACAGCTCCCAGGGGCCGGCGCGCGGGCCGGCCCCGCTCCCTCCCCGCGGCGGGCGGGGCGGGCGCGGCTCTGCGGGCGGGCGCGCGGGGCTGGCAGACGGCGCGCGAGCGATGGCGGACCCGAGCTCGTTCTCGTCGCCCGCGTGCTGCCTCACGCGGCACCTCCACCTGCGCTGCCGCGCCGACTTCGGCGCGCGGGCGCTGCGGGGCACGGCCGCTCTCACCGCGCGCGCCGAGCGCGAGGCGCTGCGCTGCCTGGTAACGGCGGGGGGGGCTGAGGGTGAGGGGAGAGGAGAGACCCCCGCGGAGCCCGCGCCGACACCGCCTTCCCTCACCTGTCTCCCGCGTCCTTCCCCTCCCACGGCCGGCGTCTCCCGGTCCTTCCTGCTCGCCTTCCTTCCCTCCCACCGCTTGGCCCTCCCCGGACCCCCCCGCTCGGCGGCTGACAGCGCCCCGCAGCCCCCGGTTCCCGCCTGTCCCCCCGGAGCCGGCGCGGTGGGCAAAGGAAGGGCAGAAATGTGTCTTTTCCCGTTGAAACGGCGAAGAGGGTGTTGCCGAAAAGATGGGAATAAATCACTGGAAAACTACACTTAGGGCTTTTTCATCTGTGTGTTTCGTTATGCCAGCTTCTTTCTCGGTTATCTATGCAAATAAACGTATCAGCCTCTTTAGCTCCTCTTTATATGTGAAGTTTGGGGTTTATGGGCTTTTTCTCATGCTGACTCCATAAAATTCTTATGCGGTCGGCACTTAGTTTTTAAGAAAAAACCCCAATCTTGTAAGCAATTAAAAGTAACACTTCCCTCGAGCTACAAATGGGACTGCTGCACTATTTAATTCATCTTCTGTTGAGTGAAAGCCTGGATTCACAGTGTCTTGTTCCAGGATGGAAGCCTTGGCAGGGGCTTTTATATCGTTTTGCACTTGATTGCAGTACTGTGAAGCCCGCTACCTTCATAGTTCACTTAGCAAACTCCTGTCTCTGCTTCCATGATCAGAAGTTGGATTTTTTCCTCTTTCTCTTCCAGTTTTCCCAGTTCCGTGCTGCTCTCTTAAAATGCTGGTTCCCAGTTAGGCAGTTTTTCTGGTTTTACGTAGTAAATACTTTTTCCTTCAGAGAGACTTGTGATCAAGATTTCATAAATATGGCATTTATTAATACTCTATCTAACAGGTACATATTGTTTTCTTCATTGCAGGTTTTGGATACAAGAGATGTACAGGTATTTAAAGTGACCGTAAATGGACAGGATGCACAATTTGCTTTTGGGGAAAAGCACAGTTTCAAGGGGACCCCCCTGGAAATCACGTTTCCTAAGGAACTAAGAAGGTATACACCTTTGTCTGTTCCTTTAGGTGGTTTCCAAAATGCACTATATAAGCCTATAGGGTTGTTGTGTAAAGCTTGCAGAGGCACTTAAATTAGGGTGTTGCATTCATTTGCTATGATCTTGTAGATTAATTTGATATTTGGCTTTCATTAGCCAAAACTTTGGGAGTCTTTTTACCTACTCCCAGGTCATACATCATGTACGAAATTACTTGCTAAACTGAGTAGCAAAATAATGTGTAATGTATCAAAATTTTTCCAGTGCTTCTCATCAGTAATTCGGCTTCAACTACTTGAATTCTGTCTTTTCAGAGTTGCTACAGTGTAGTACCTACAGAGTTACAGCCCAGAGTTACAGAGTTTGCCATTCTTTTACACAAGGGCTGACTCTGCATTTCTGTAGAACTTCGGGTTACCACTATGATTAGATAGAAGCATATTTTCAAATAATAAAAGTTTTATTGTGTTGACTACACTAAGTCCCTGAAAACTGGACTTGAGTTTTTGCAGCATGTTGGAGAATGAACTAACCATAAGTCTACCTCTTAAATTCCATGAATTTAAAGGTTGTTGCCAAATTACAAGATGCTTTTTTGGTGGTTTGCTTTACGTATTGTGACTCCATGGTATCTTACCCCTCTATGGTGCCAAAGCTGTGATTGTATGGGGAAGTTTCCTTGTTTGAATTAAGGTACATACTAAGTTGCTTCTTACTGTTTGTGTTTCAGAACTAGTTACTACCTCTAAAAACTCTTGTCTGGTCTCTAATTTTTTTGTTCATGTTATACTTTGAATTAATGCAATTTAGAAACACACAAAATGTGAAAGAGAAAGGAATGTTGTACAATAGCTGTCCCTTCTGGGAAACACTTATGATCTAATATGAAACTGTACAAATTACGTACTTGAACAAACAGTCCACACAAAAATGTAGGGCTGTTTCTTTTGTTTGACTTTCAGATGCCTTTTTTTTTCTTGTTAGTGCTAAATTTCCTTGTAAGAAGAAAAGGGGAGTTAGAGTTATGAGTTGTGACTGTAAGAATTTATAATTTTGTATGAGATATAGTCCCCCATGTAAGTATCAATACAACGGCGATAGGAAAGGGTAGTAGTTGCAACTGACAGTCTGACTGTTCAGAAAGCAATGTGTCTTTATGGTAATATGAAGTATTTTCTCTTTTCTTTTTGAATATGTACTTTGGAATGCTGGTTATAAACCAGATATGTGTACTTGGTCAGCTTATCTAATGTCCAACTCCTCTGATTAGCTGCAGTTTGTTCTGGTTTATGGTTGGATTGTTTATTCCAGAAGGTTTCACGTATAACCTGGAACTTTCTGAGAATAGAAGAAATTCTGCATGCTTTTGGTGTCAGTGGTGGTTAAGACGTGGTCTTAATAAATAAATGTATGAGTGAATATGAATGTGTCAGGTTTGCATGTGTTCTCTTATTAGCAAGGTGATACCTGTCTTTCACAGAACTTAGTTTTTACTTTACACCAATTCTGAAACCCTGAATAAAATTTGAACATTTTTTATTTTTCTTGTTAACCCTACTGTTAGTAGGGATTTTCAGTCATTACTGAAATTTTTCGGGTTGTTTTTTTTTCTGCTTAAGGATCATACTTACAGAACATTAACATCAGTAGCAAAATCTAAATTTTTTTTATTTACAGAGTACACATTGTGTTAATTTTGTATTTTCTTACATAGGGTTTTGCACTTTTTTGTTTGAGCATTGTAGTGGGTTTTTTATATGTATATGTGTAATGTTAGATAGTTGTGACAGAACTGTATATATGTAGCTGGTCCAAATAGTTTAAAGAAAAAGTCCTTGTTCTCCTTGAAGAGAGGAAAGAAAAAATTTATGGTTAGTAAAAACAATAATAGAAGTGTTTTGACATAAAATTGAAATAAACTGTCTAATTTTTACTATCATAATTGAAAGAGAAAGTGTTTCTTAGTATGCTACGTGTTCTTATTTTAATGCATTTGAGACAGTGCCACAGACCTATTTTCCAGAAGTCTTTGTAGAGGTATTTCAGTGTGATCAGGATTTGTGTCAAAACACTCTATGTTCTTTATTACACAGGGGACAAGAAGCAATTGTTGAAATCTCTTTTGAAAGCTCTCCAAAGTCTTCAGCTCTCCAGTGGTTTACTCCAGAGCAAACTTCTGGAAAGAAACATCCATTTCTCTTCAGCCAGTGTCAGGTTGAGTTTTGTTTTCTTTTTTAAGCTTGTTTGCATGCCACTATAATTTTCCTCTGGTTTCTACAGAGCTGGGGAGGAAGTCTGCTAAGGGAAAGTACAGTAGCCCATAACTTCTAATTGTGCATGTCAAAGGTCCTAAAGGGAAACACTTAATGCCAGGATACTGATGAGATTTTTATTATATGTTTGCAGTTTAATAATTCTGTAAGTGCTTTATCCTCTCCAGTATACTGATGAAGAACATACAGTATTTTGTAATCAATATATGTGGCTACTGATCTGTCTTACCTACCATTATTTCTTTTACAAAAGCCTTAACTATGAAAACTGCTGTCAGCTATAAATGATAGGAGTATTGCTTTGGAGAGAATGAATTCTCTGGAGGAGCTGGATTGATTTCCACAGTAACATTAATTGATTTATTTATAGTCCTCTACATTAGAAAGACTGTTATGTTTTCATAACTTTTTTCTTTTCTCCCTCTCTAGGCTATCCACTGCAGAGCCATCTTTCCATGCCAGGACACACCTGCCGTGAAACTAACCTACTATGCAGAGGTAGATGAACCCAAGTCAATGTATGTCTTAACTAAAGACAACTGCAACAATGGGTGAATTTATATTGGGGATTTTTTTGTAGCTGTCAGCATGTGGCCTAAAATAAAAACAGAGAATGTTGACTTTTAGCTTAATGTAAGAGCCAAGAACTGTGTATCTTCCCTGTAGTACTTCTCTAGCTTTTCTGTTTTCTGATATATATATAAACTCTTTTCATTCACACATATCTATTTCCAAAAGAAAGAAGTGCAGTAGGAAGAAAGAAACAAGTCCTAAAATTAAGAAGAATGGACAGTAAGATGACAAAGAGTGCTGTAGCATAAAAATACTTGAAATTACTCTTATGTAGTCCTTTAAGTAATATATTCTGCTACATAGTTAGGGGATCTTTGCAGTTCGATAGTTTGATTGTTTTAAGGAATCAAAAAGCAAAATGTGCAATATGACATTATAATTCTGTTGTCTGAAGGAAGTGAGACTTTTAACTTCTGGTGGAGGTAATCCTTCAGCTTAATTAAATATTGCCAGTCTTCAAGACAAAATTTTTCACGTGCCTTACATTTTACTTGGCGGAGGTGACTTACCAACAGAACTGTCTGGGCTACTCTTTGTTATCACTTTGTTAGCACTGCTTCTAGTCTGTTATGTAACCCTGTGTACCACCTGCACTGCTTATAGTTGGGTAACCTTTCAGATATCCGTTCCGAAAGAGCTGGTGGCTCTCATGAGCGCTAATCGTGATGGAGAGATGCCTGACCCAGAGGACAGCAGTCGAAAGATATACCGTTTCAGTCAGAATGTAAGTGCTCCAGGAGAGTACATGGATGCCCAAGGTCTTATTCCTGACTCATGCAGTTCACAGTCACTTCAGAGATGGTATTGATGTCATCAGAAATCATGTGACTACTCATGGTGGGTCTTTGCTATTCTAGAAATAGGAGGTATTATGGATCTGGAGATCCATAATATCTCGTATTTCAGATACCTCAGATCTTGTTCTGAGAAGACAACCAGTAAGTGCTGGCAGTGTTTACTGGTCTTTTTTGGCATTCCCAGAAAAGCCAGATTTGAGTTTTGAAAATATTTGGTGTGCTCAAAGCTAGTCTTGTCAAAACCCCTTATGTCTGCGCTGATTCTTGGAAAATAATGCAGATGCAAATAACACGGGAGCAAGTTTTGGAAAACATATGCTGCAAATGTTAAGCTCACGAAGATCTTGGCAGTGAAGCTCAGCGTTGGAATCAATTTTTAGCTTAAAGTTAGGCAAATTCTGACAGTAGAGATCTTGAATTATTTTTTTTTTTTTTAATGTGAAAACTTTGACTTCTATGGAAAGTATCTTCAGGGAATTAAATATTAATGTTCTCTGGATGAAATGCTATTAAGTGGTGCAGCTATTTTAATGATTCCACTGCTCATAAAGAGGCAGTCTCAATTTACTCTTCTGACATTTTTGTTCTCACAGGTTTTTGGGTTACAGTTCTGATGTTTATGGGATCTCTTGGTGATCCTAGTTCATTTTGCTGAACAAGCAGATAAAATTAACCTAAGTTGGAAATATAAATTGTTTTTATAGAAGATCTGGGCTGCTGAGAGACTTAATGATTGCAAGGAGGGATGGAATTGTGTGATTAGAGGAGAGGAGGGGAACGTACTCTGAACGGCAACAGCTCTTAGGTTTCACAGAGCAACCAAATGAAACCCAAGGGAGGCAAGAGGGCAGAGAGGGAAAAATAGTTACCTCATCTGAGAGCTCATTAATATGCAATGTTTTGCCTTCTCTGTGGAGACAAAACATTTGCCACTCACAGTCTAGTACTTAAGGCTTCTATGTTGTGTGTTATCCAGAGCTCTGTGTTATCTAGAAATAGGTTGTTAAGTTTGGTGAACCTGTACACGGAATAACATTTAGTCTGATTGAAATTGTATGACACTTCCTAATATAGAAAACGATTATTTTCTAGACAAGACGTTTTTCTTTTAACAAAAAATTGCATTAAGCACAAAATATATAAATGGAAAAAGACAAGCGTGTTTCCTGAGATGAAAGAGGCAAATGCATCAAGCTCTTGGATATGTATGTGGGCTGAGCTTACCTAAAACTATTTTTTTTCGCTCTTGCGTGGGCAGGCTGGTAAGAAGTGTAGTGGAGACCAGCCTCTGTAAAAATGAGTTTACAACCCAAGAGCCATTGACATTTGAATTTCAAAATGTCAGAATAGCAAATTGGACATAAAAATATAGGGATATATTGGCAATTTTTTAATAATTTGTCTGTTACATAAATCAGTGGACTTTGTTCCTTTCAAGAATATGTTCTGTGGGTTAATAGGTAAAATTAAAACACACATGATGATACAGGTATTTTAATAAATTATATTTAAATGGTTTAGGGATAACGGTGGAAAAAAATTTTCTGTAATGTTGTCTCTAACTAATTATGGTGTAAAGTATTACTTGTTTAACAGTGTTAATCAGATAAAGTGGAACTCTTACAGGGATGACTGTATTATCCCCTTTTCTTTCCAGAGCACTTGGAGAAAACATTTCTCTAAAGATACTCCAGTTTGGAGTTTTTTCATAAAAATAACAAATACTCAGAGTTTATCTTAATTACAAACATGGAAATCAAACACATAAATTTTGATTTTTCCAGAATTCTTTATATCCTTAAATATTCTTGTTTATTTCATTAAAGGTCTTCCTGCACCTTTCTGTGTGATAAAACTGCCTATTATCCAAACAATGTCTCTTACCTTCTCCTTCCATAAAATTTAATTGAATGGGAATGAAAATGGGAAACTGACTTTCTTTTGAACAGATACCAAACCAGCAGCATTTTTGTATTCATGTTTTTTCAAACAGAGACGATACTTACAGCTTTGTGGCTTTTGCATGAAGCCTCTTTGAAGCAAGTACATCCTACAGAATATCATTTGGGGAGTAAAAAATTAGGGGAGTGCCTTTAAAAAAACAATCTCTGCCTTTAAGTTAGGAAACTGTAGAGGAAAATTTCTTTATTTACATATCTTTGTTTTTCTCTGAATCAGCGGTCTTGATAAATCACATCGCAAATAAGATTTCTTTTTTTTCCCCATGTTCTTCAATAGGTTCCCATACCTTGCTACTTGTTTGCTTTAGTGGTTGGAGCTTTAGAAAGCAGGTGAGTGAATCTGCACAGTACAAATATTAATAACCATAATAAATCTTCAGAGTTAACTTTTTAAAAAATTTGTTTCTCAGTCTTTCTTCTGGTTTTAAAAGGTCTTAAAGGTTTGGTTAGCCTGTTTGTATCAGACTGCAGGTATCTTGATTTGCTCTTGCATAATCCTTTTACTTTTGCTGTAAGTTAGAGAAATTGCCCGAAGTGTTTGGAACTGAAAAAGCTCTCAGGGGTTTACAATTTAGCACAGGAAATAGATCTTCTTTCTCAGGCAACAGATAAGCCTTGCCATGTACAAAAGGCAGATAAGTACAGCTTCAGCTTCATTTCTTATCTGGCCAGGGTTGTGTTAATCTAGGGCATAATAATGCATTTATATTAGGGCTTTACAGCATTTAAAAATCTGTAAGTGGTTTTCCTATTCTTTTGTGCTGAACAGTGGACACATGTTGTTTGTTTTGTTTGCTAAGGTTTTACTTCAGCAGTGGAGAGAAAAAACTAAGACTAATAAGTTTCTTCTGCAACATCAGTTACTGTATTAGTTTCCCATAGAATAATTTCTGGTCCTAGTGTCTTATTGGTGTTTACTTTCAACAGAAAGATTGGCCCAAGGACACTGGTGTGGGCTGAAAAGGAGCTAGTGGATAAATCAGCCTATGAATTTTCTGAGGTAGGTAATCAACAACAGCAACAACAAAAGTTTTGTAAACTATTTCACGTAGTATTGGAAAAGGGGCAGACTGGGGTTAACCATTTTCTTCATCTGTAGCTCTTGTTTCTCTACCTCCCACTCCCAAAAATATTTGCAGCACAAAATTATTACTGAAAGTGCATATTGATACAGTCTTGTACTCATTTTGCATGTGGGCCTCACCATGGTGACAGAGTATGAAAGATAATAATAATAATTGCTTGTTATTTGTTCAGTGTTTGTAGTCAGAAATCATCTTAGAAACTAATGTGGATTCTTGTTTCAGGCTGAAGCAATGCTGAAAACAGCAGAAGATTTAGCAGGACCTTATGTATGGGGACAGTATGACTTGTTAGTCTTACCACCTTCTTTTCCTTATGGTGGTATGGAGAATCCTTGTCTTACTTTTGTAACTCCAACACTATTGGTAAGTATAACAGCGATAAGCAAGCCCTAAGGATAAGTTGACTTTTATCCATCAAGTGATGGATATTAATGTACAAATTGGATTAATTTTCTTAGACAGACCTATTCCTACCTCCTTTGGAGTTAATGATCATACAAGAAACTGCCTTAAGTGAGGCTTACTTGAACTGACAACTAACTTGTCTTTTCTTTTTGTTAGGCAGGTGATCGCTCTCTGTCAAATGTAAGTCCGAAATAGTTTCATGTCTTTTGTTCTAAGTAAATTCCAGAAAACTGGAGATGTATGTATTTCACATAATGGACAGATGGTGCCTGTATGCATAGGGAGTTGACTGAGGTTAGCTGCTCTGTAGCTCTTTTCCTGTCCTGTTAAACCACAATACCTGTGTATAGATATGTTTAAAAACCACAACTGAATTGGCCTCATTGAAATTGTTTGTAGGGAACTTCTTCCTCTATATGTGTGTCTATGAACTAGAACTCATATTATGTACAATTTTCTTTAAAGTGCAAATAATGAGTACAATTTGAGCAATTTTTTTTTTTTAAAGTTGAGTGCTCTGAGTATCATTTTATTTCATATGTCTTTCTACTAGACTGAGGTACTGCAAAAGCAAAAAAAAAAAGATTGTCTTATACCAAGAATACTGAAATATTTGCCATTGGACTTTTTAATGTATTGTGCATCATTAGCCTTTGAGGAGTGACTTCCAGTTTGATATTTTGGAAAATCACAGCACTGCAGAAGTTGTTTAGGTTGGAGAGTAATACTAGTCCATCACTTGGTATTCTGTATTCTGAAATGTGATTTCATAAACAAGTTACCCACACCAAGCTACCAGAGGATTTTTGTTGATCAGTGTGGCTCTGTGACTTGCAGGCTGGGCATTAAAAATTACTTCTGTAGAAGGTTTGTTAGGGGAGTTAGTCCTCTACTTAAAATTTATGTGGATAGGTCTACAAAACTGTGAATGGTGGCTGGCTTTGGGAATGTAATGTAGTAGAGAAGATCCCATCAGGATTTTATTCTTTCTATTGGGATTTGATGTTCCTTTTCCAGAGGAATCTAAATGGTAGATTTGTTTTCTGTGTTTTAGGTTATTGCTCATGAAATCTCTCATAGCTGGACAGGAAACTTGGTAACCAACAAAACATGGCAGCATTTTTGGTAGGTATGATGTTCAGTCTCGGTAAAGAGACTGCCCAAATTCATTTTGCCATCCTACTGGTGCTGACTTTATCAGTGTATTTCCAGGCTGAATGAGGGTCATACTGTATACTTGGAACGTAGGATCGGTGGTCGGTTGTTTGGCGAGCAGTTCAGGCACTTTCAAGCCCTAGGAGGTTGGAGAGAACTGCAGAATACGGTAAATATTTTTAAAGTTATCATAACTTTATGCTTAAGCCTATATCTAAATTAAAACAACTGTTATCATGTGTTTCCCACAAATAAAATTCATTGAGTCAGCTTTCCTAATACTTTCTTATTAGACGATAAACAACTTTGATTCCAAGATGTGTGATTGCTTCCCAAGCTCAATATACAGATGAGATAAAGCTTTTTAAACTGTTTTAAGCTGTTCTGTAAGAATTAACATCTTTACAGACTCTCCTCCTTATTCTGGGTATGGCTAAGTTGCAGTGTTAACTGGTTGCCGTACTGTCAGGCAACTGAATGCTTGTCAAAATCGTCTGCTTGCGTGACCTTCCAAATTTCCAATGCCTCATGCAAGTAACTGATTTTTTTTTCCCCGTATACTGCATTGAAGTTGAGCATATTCCAAATCTCTTACTGTCTAAAAGGGTTGTTTAGTTTTGTGTTTAGATAGCATAGTCAAACCTTAGGTTTCAGATTTTCAGTCTGTGGTATTTCCAGCCCTCTCATTTTGTTTGGTGATTACCTGGTTTACTATGAATATTTTCTCCTCATATTTTTTCCTCATATCAACCATTTAAATAAGATGGTTAAATAGTGTATTAATAAAGGGATACATATAGATGGTTTAATAGGTGCTCATGGTTGTGACAGCTGGAGCACAAGGTGATTGATCCTAACATCTTTCTGTTCATTACGCAATCAGGCACTGATAAATGAGAAAAATTTTAGTAAACTATGTTTTGTGCATATTCTGAACTTCAGGAAAAAGAATGAGAGAGAATGCTTTGTCTTAGTTTTGGATGGTTTATACTTCATGGAGAGAATTAGTAGTGATTTGGAAGAGTGCTAGTTTTCCTAGATGAATATCTTTTCTTGTGTTTTTTGACACAGATAAATACTCTTGGAGATAAAAATCCTGTAACAAACCTTGTCCTTGATCTGGATGTAGATCCTGATGTTGCCTTTTCATCTGTTCCATATGAGAAAGGCTTTGCTTTGCTTTTTTACCTTGAACAACTTCTTGGAGGACCAGGTAAGTGTTACTCAGACCTTATATATTATTGTTTTCCATCTTAATTTCAAATACTGAAACAATTTGTTTTTTAACCGTTAGATGTCTTCATGGGCTTCTTGAAGGCTTACGTTCAGCAGTTTGCTTATAAAAGCATAGTAACGGAGGACTGGAAGAAGTTCTTGTACTCCTACTTCAAGGATAAGGTTGAGTAGTATTTAAAACTAGTTGCTTGAAACCTTTTAATTATGTAAATTATGGTATGGCTCATGATTTATCGTCTTTAAAGACCAGTCTTTATCTTTCTTTATTTCAAGATCTTAGTACGATGTGATCTGGAATCTTGTAAAAATAGGTTTGCATTATGATGCCTTTTTTTTTCTTTCCATAGAAGGGAATATTTTGTTTTGAAGTAATCTATATGGGATTCTCCAGGGAGCAGTGTTAACAAAGGAAAAAAAAGGGTTGAAACTAGATTTCATAGGGTATGCTTTTCTCAAAAAACAATTGCAACCAAACAAAAAACCAACCAAACAGAAAAGAACAACAACAAAACCCGTAATCACATTTAAAATTTAATAAGATTTTGTGTTGCTTTGTAGGTAGATATTCTTGATAAAGTTGATTGGAACTCATGGTTTCATGCTCCAGGAATGCCACCAGTGAAACCTACGTAAGCTGCATTCTTCTAAAGTTCATCTTTTCCTTCTTCAGATTACATGTGATTTTTCCAAACAGTCATGAAACAGTTTGTGAACAGGGTGAAAGTCTTCTTACAAACATGTTATTAGAAAATGCCCCACTACTATATAGGAGAAAAAAATGTCAGTTAACATTATCAGTTTTTTATTCTGGTGGAAATTCATTTTGCTTTGAAAGTTGCCAGGAAAGATTGTTTTTTTCTGGCACTTTGTTACAACAGTATTCTCTTTTCAGCTTTAAACTGTAATATATGCATGAGCATATATGCTGAGAAGTATTAATTATTTTAGGAGTCTGTGCGATGAAGAGATAGTGTAATCTGTGCACAAAGTGCTTCTTACTAAAACTGAAATATATTTTGTGGTATCTTTTGTAAATTGCATTACAGTATTGAGTCAGGGCATGCAGTGAACAAATGCGGAGCCACTTGAGGAAAATTTCTAATCATTCTTGTAAAAAATATTACAGGAGCTTTTTGTGTTTCCAAAGTATGATCCTTTGTTTTTAATATTTGACAGGTATGATATGACACTAGCAAATGCTTGCGTTGCCTTGAGCCAAAGATGGATTGAAGTGAGTAGTTAAAGAATGCTGAGGTGTCTGTATCTTGTAAAGCTTTGTCGTACAAAGTGAGCCCTTCTTTTTGAAATCTATTGTTTGCTGAGAGAGAGTATGTGTTTGTGGTGATAGTTTGGCTTCCAGGGATTTTGTATTTTGTAGACTAGACTTTCTTCAAAGTTTGTGAATTAGCTATGACTTATGTTGGTGAAGTATGGTACATATTTTAACAAGGCACATAACCAGCTTCTAGTTAAACATATGTAGTAACTGAACTGAAAATATTCTTTTTGAGACCCTGGTAGTATGACTTAATTTAAAAACAAATGCCAGGGTATCTCTGCATCACTGATTATATTGTATCAGCAGTAGTTCTACTACGTTATAGTGGAATTATGCATTTCGCCTCAAAAACTGAAATACATAAGTAATAATAAGTAACTAATACCACATAATATTCTCCTAATTTTAACTGTTAAAAACATACAACTAATAGAGAATTCAGCATACCCTCCTTTTGTTAACTCTGTGGCTTTTCACTGTACTTGTATGCTATCTTTTAACTTTCTTCTTCTTAGTGTTACATTTTATAAAAAAAAGTATTTGATTTTTCACTTAACTAACAGAAAGACAGTGGAGATAAAAAGATCAGTGGAGAGAAAATAAGTGAAGAACACAAACATCAGTCAGCAGCTTAAGCCCCTCCCTTCCCCTTATTGTAACATCCTGCACAGATACAAATCAGTATCTTCTTTATGTGAAATGGCTCAACAGTAAGTGCAGATGTCAAAACAGAAAATTGCACCTTACTGTACTTTTTAAATACCTATTAAAAATTAAAAAATCATTCTCTTTTAGGCAAAAGAAAGTGACTTGGGGTCATTCAGCTCAGCAGACCTGAAGGAAATGTCATCTCATCAGTTAATTGAGTTCCTGGCACTGTTGCTTCTGGAGGTAAATGTGCACCTGGGGTGACTTGATTCTGGTGTCACAAAAGCAGACACAGAAGCCCTACTGTGCTTTGGAATTAAGTTGTTCGTCTAAGTTTTGCTAAATTAATCTGCTCTCAGCATACATGGTTATTAAAACCTTCAGCCTTGCCTCCCTGATTTATGTCTGGCTCTTCAGTTAACAAGCAACATATAGAGTATTTTGGATTGAAAGGTAAAAAGAAAACTATGAGATGCTTGAATTTGTCTGTATTTGGTGTTATAGCAAATAAGCTAGAAATCAAATGGAATAGAAATACTTTGTTTGGAATGTTTCAATAGTACTGGATGTGGGAATTAGCTGACATTTATTCCTTGCCTGTTCCCTAATACTGTGGAAAGGTGGAAGGAACAAATACTTGTTTGATTTCAGTTTCTTTGTAGCATCAGTCTTCTTGATTACCCTGTTTGTTTTTGAAGTAGTTGGCTTGAAGTGTTCCTCTGGCTTATTCTGACTGTGCAATTTCTTTTTCAGGCACCTCTTCCATTGTCACATGTCAAACGCATGCAGGAAGTCTATGACTTCAATGCTATACACAATTCTGAAATAAGATTCAGGTTAGTTCTAGTGTGGGCACTTTTCTAATATTAAATGCTTTCATGAAACAAAGTGTCCTGCTTCATAAATGGTCTGAGACATCCTTTGTACAGAGCTGGTGCAGGGTTTCGATTTGGTTTTGTTGCTGTTGTGGCTTTTTTTTAAGTTCATGTATGAATGTGCTTACCAGAGTGGTGTTCTGTTACTATGAACTCGGCAAATACGGTCTGGTAGAAGAATTCAAAGTGGACAGTGGATTAGCTGTGCTTTATTTTAATCTGTCACACTAGCAAAGGAACCTGACAACCCAGTAACTTATTTTGGGGGTGGTATTGAATAAAACAATGGTGAGCCTCTCTGTGAACAATCTTTCCAATATATAGTCAGCACCTGGTCTTCAGGACAGTTTTTCTGCTGATGTGCCAGTGTGTTTTTCAACGCAACTTGAAATTTTTTTTGTCACGTTTTATTGCTTACTATTATAAAGACTTTGTATCATTAAAAAAAGTAAATATCAAAGGGGAAATTTCTAAACAAGCAGTAAGTACTTCTGGCTAAATTGATTCTTTTGCCATTCTAATTTCTTCTGTTTTGTATTTACAATATTGTGTTTACATGTCAGTTCTTGGAAAAAGGTACCCAATTGGGACATAAGTAATCTCAATAGGTAGCTTGAAGTATTGGATATTTTGCTACTTTTACCTACTTGGGTACATTTAAAGTGTTCTGCCTTAACTGGGGAGGTTCTTTGTTTCTTGTTTAAAAAAACAAGTATTTTAAACATACAGTATAGTTCCAACTTCCTGTAACAAGATGAATTTCTTCTCTTTTTTTAAACAAAACAAGCAGCTTGTGACATTTTGTTTGGATTTTTTTCTGGTTTGTTTTTCAGGGTTTTTTTAATCAGTTGGCCAAATATGACAAGGGCTGTATAATCCAGCTCTAATTATGCGTGATGCAACTCGACACTATTGTAATATAAAAAATTACGTAGCTTCTGAAAATAATCAGACCATTTTGGAGGGACTCGGCTGCAATTTTTTCCTGTTTTACGGAAAAGTTCGCCTTTCTAATGTGCTAGTTAAACACTAAAAATTTTATGTTGAACTTAGCTGGAATCTCACTACCGTGATGACAGAGCAGAGCCCAGAGTGTTTATGGGAACAGACTTGAAATATAACCAACCACCACAAATGAAAAGTGCAGATTTTTTCTTTGCCCCCCCAGATGGCTGCGTCTCTGTATCAGGTCCAAGTGGGAAGAAGCTATTCCTCTGGCTCTAAAAATGGCAACAGATCAGGGCAGGATGAAGTTTACTCGACCCTTGTTCAGGTAAAAGTAATCTCCAAGTGGTAGGAGCTCATGCTGTGGCATTTCTAGTATAATGCAATGTATAATAGAAATGCATTTATGGTACGCATTTAAGTAATATAATAGAGAATTCTCTGTATACTGTGACCAAGCTTATCTTCTGAGGTGCTTTCCACTTGCTGACTCTTTTTCATAGAAGAAAGCTTAGTCCCAGTATGCACCTGAAGGCGAGGCTTTCAAGGGAAAAGTAAAACCTTGAGGAAATCCCTGTTGTACTATTTTTCTAGATTTTTGTGATGATACTTCCCCTCCCTCCTCCTTCTTTTACAGGGACCTTTACAGTTTTGACAAGAGTCGAGATCTGGCTGTCAAGACATTTCTGGAGCATAGACCCTCCATGCACCCGGTCACTTCAATGCTTGTGGGAAAAGACTTGAAGCAGGATCAGTGAAATATTCTTGTTGCTGAAAGAAGAGACTGCCCAAACTGTTGATATGTGTGATTGATTATGCCATTAAATGCTCTGCTGCTGTGGTGCTGATGTAGCTTAAAATTAATTTTCCAAATCAAATTCAGTACTTTCTATTTTTCATTTCCAAGTAAAGCAGCAAAATTGCTACATCTCTGGAACTGGAAGGATGTTTTTGTTACAAGCAAGTTTTAGCACACACAGAAACTGTTCTGAGATGTCAGTCATTTGTCGGTGATAGAATTGAAAAACATGAAAAATTAATTGGTGGATGGTATGACTCTTTGTGCACAGCATTCTTTTCCATAGCACGGTGGTTGAAACTTCAAGTATCTAAAGACTACAAAATAAATCCTTTCATTCCCTACTTGCCTGTGTATTGATCTGAGCAAAAAGTTTTGATTTAATACTTTTGTTTTATTTATTGTTTTGTTGTGGGAGAAATTTCTGAGTCCAAAAAGACTATGAAGACAGTTTTCAACCTGCTCACTATATATTTTCAAAAATTATTATTGCAGGGGTGCTAAAGTCCAAGTCTTTCCTTACCCAATTTGATATTTTTAATATTTGCATTTTTTAACCGATACTGGGCACTACCCCTTATGCTAATATAACAACTTAGAGGTAAGTTCAGAAACAATGGGGGAGCTGTTTTTCCTGTGTTTGTTACAGCGCTGCAGTTCAGGGTGGTGGCCTAGGTGATGCTGTGGGGAATGCTGCCATCTCTAGGCTGAGTTTTGCAGCGAGTTTGGTAAGGACTGCTTTCCTTGGAGATGATATGTTCGTATAAATTAAATCTGTTGACATTGGGATAACCCCCATACAAAGGAGCAACAAACAAAACCAAAAAGTGCTGGTTTAGGGGAGGAGGATACCAAGTATAGGTCATGACAAAAGGCTCGGAGCCAGAAAAAAAAGAAAATTGTGTCATGGCTTTCACTGTTCTCGTTACCCTACGCTGCTGGGGCAGTGTCTCCCACATAGAGATTCCCACCCATGTATCCCAAGTTAATATTCCCTACAATAATTAAACCCTGAGTAGTCCCTTTGTCTGGGAACACTAGTATAGGTAGCATGGACTACCATTTTGCCTTTAAAGACAAATGTATTTTCAGCTTCTGTGCAGACATGGTTATTGATAAACTTTATTTTGGCACCGCTGTAACAGGTACCTCCACATCTTTTCCTCTTTGCATCTGCCTGCAAAGGCAGCATGACGTAGCAGCACTGGGCTTGATAGTGTGCAGCTGTGGCCTAGTATTTGTTCCTGCCTGTTCTAGTAACTTCTAGAACAAAAGGGTAACGGCAATGGAAATTAATTGATCTTTTCCTCACCTACAATAAAAAATTGTGTTTTCAAACTTGGTCATGAGACTGAGCAAAGCAGGCTTGCTTCCTCTACTGCATGCTTTTATTCTGCCCTGGATAGAGATGTAAAATTATAATCCAGTCTTCTTTCAATCTTAGCAGTCATGAGCAACCCATCATCTTGGGCGACTCTCTTGCAGCCCTGTGCCTCATGGAGGTTTTTGTTAGTGTGGTTTACTGCCAAGTGTTTACTGTTAACTCTTGTTAAACCCTTACATTTTTAGAACAATTCCACAGCATCTTAGTCCAGTTTATCTAATCTTGGTACATAGCTCCATCTCCCGTATTTTCATTTCTATAATCCTGATGTGATCTTTGGAAAAAAAATGGGGCTTGTGCCTTTCTGTGAGAAGGGTGTGTTGCCTGGGTTTGGTTTGATTGGATGAAGTCAGCCAAATACATCGATCTTGCTTATTTACAAAGGTGGGGATTTTGAGGGTGGATTTTTTGCTTCTATCCGATTGCAACACTGGACTCCAGACAGGCACTTCAGACCACTGCGTGGTCAGTGTGAGGCTGCTCCACACTGCAGCCCTTCTTGGTCAAGGAATAATTTTTGGAGAGAAAGCATGCCGAGATACACAGTGCATGTCCGAGGAGAATGGCTGGCAGTGCCGTGCCTGAGCTCCACGAACACCATTGAGTGGCTGGGAAAGGAAGCTGTGAGGCGATACATGAAAAACAAACCTGACAACGGGGGGTTTGCCTCAGTGGAGGAAGTGAAGTTTTACATTCGAAGGTGCAAGGGACTTGGCTTGTTGGATCTCGATGATACAGTGGGAGATGCTCTAGAGGACAATGAATTTGTTGAAGTTGGTAAGCAAAACCTTAAGCAATGCTTTGCAGGGTGACCGTTGGCATCTGAGTCATCAAACTGGCTTTATTCATCTAAAATTGCGCCTGAGATATTGTCTACAGTTTTATGGAAAAATGTCCAACCATTTAAGAATATTTAGTTTTTAGAAATGGACCTATATAAGGTTTAAAAGGTACAGTATTCTATATACATCATCTGTATATGCTGTCATATATAGTATAAGCTGTTCTGCTTTTGCCTTTGGAATACCTTAAATAAATACATACAAATATGTTTGGGGCTGATAACTGCAAATTAGAATTCTTACTACTGTATGTTGTAATTAATAACAACTTATATAAAGAATGCACTTTAATCCTGTTTGTGTTTATTCTGCATATTTCTTCTAGTTATAGAAGGAGATATAATGTCTCCAGATTTCATACCATCTCAGCCAGAAGGAGTTCATTTGTATCCTTTTTTGAGTGCTTTGTGAACTTTTTACAATTCCAGATTTATAATTCTCTAGATTCTTCATTTTTTTATAGTTTCTTTGTTCTTAAAACATATTTCCAGCTGTAATCAAGTGGTTACCACCCATGAAATCTTGTCTGCCCTTTTTCCTTTACAGAACTTTCAGATACAGCAAATACCGAGAACCAGAACAGGTAGGAATCACCAATGATTTTATAACTCAGTAACAAATTCTGCTACTTACCAGACCATGCTGAGAGTTCAGCCATTGCAGCATTCAAAAGAGCAGAGGCTGCTAGATTGGCTGGGTCTAGCAAACTAAATTGTAATATGTTTATTATGTTTTTGTTACCGAGTTCCTGTCTTATGAATGAGCATGCAGAAGCTTCCTGTCATTGCTGAGTTTTGACTGTATTTTTTATTTATTCTGATTATTAAGCAACTTTATATATATCTATATCCCAACTAAAAAGTGTTTTTTTGGTGTAGTATATTTCTTTAGATGGCAACAGCTTAACAACAGAGGACTTGGTCAATTTAGGAAAGGGGCTCTACAAGATAAAGGTAACGATTCTGAACAAATGCAGCTAAAAATTACATGTTTATATTTCTACAACTAAATAATTATAAATAAACTGATATTTAAACTACTTATGTTTCAGCTCACACCTGAAGCTGAAGCTAAAGTCAAACAATCACGAGAAGTGATTGAAAGGATCGTAAAGGAACAGACAGGTAAATATTTGTACCTCCAACTATTAATTGTTTAGAAAACTTCATCAGGTTCCCTTCTTAACCAGCAGTATGTTTCTTGCAGTTGTTTACGGAATCACCACAGGGTTTGGGAAGTTTGCCAGGACTGTCATCCCAAACAGTAAGCTGAGGTAAGTTGAGTGTGCAGCTTTCTCTGTCCTTTTTTCTCAGGAAAGGAAGAGGGAGCAGTTCAACCCCATACTTTTATACTGTGTGGTTAAATGGGAGAGCTGCTTCAGTATTTCCTTCTGTTTTGTGCAAAATAAAACCTGATGAGACTTTTGGGGAATTTAACGTATAGTTTTTTTCTGTAGGGAGCTTCAAGTGAACTTGGTTCGTTCGCATTCTGCAGGTAATGAGAGACTGGCTTGATGTTTCCCTTTCCTGCCTCTGTTGGTAGCGGGGTAGTAACTGAGAGGGTTCCTGTTTCAGGTGTGGGGAAACCTTTGACCCCAGAGAGATCTCGCATGCTGTTGGCACTGAGAATCAATGTCCTGGCCAAAGGATACAGTGGAATATCCCTAGAAACCCTCGAGCAAGTTATTGAAGCGTTTAATGGTAAAAGAGATGTTTAAAGAAAATCCTGCTTTCCCATTTTTTTTCCTTTAAACTGTAATGTTAAATGGTGTAACTCAATGCGTCAAGCTGCAGATGTTGGTCTTTTGTATTTGGTGGCTCTGAGAGGTGAGGACCAGAGCTTGGCTGTACAAGCTCACAATTGGAGACCATTCCTCTGTCAAAGGACATAGAACATGAGATGAATTGACAGGAAAGGCTGAAAGAAAGGGATGCAACAGACAGAAGTTTGGAAAATGAGCCTCTGAGAGGTCAGACAATAATTAGTTCAATACTAAGCTTGACTTAGAACATAACTCTGGGCAAGCACTTTTACAAAGCCTCAAGTCTTTAACTTCTGTCCTGTCGGGTGCTAATGTGTGTGACATCATCTTTAGGGATACTGGTTTTTCGGGGGAGTGGGCTATTACCGTATAGAAAAATGCGTGTGTCAAGCAGAGCAGCTTAAACAGCACCTGTTTTTGTGAGTAGAACCCCTGGCAGCCACACAGAAGCACATGGCTAGCTCACATAGCCACAACTGTCACAGCAGTTCCAGCTGGGTGGCCTTCCCTCCCTTGCGCAGTGCTGTGGCAGGAAAACCAGAGAGGCGACTGTGCTGTTCATTATCTGATGACCACTGATGGTCCCTCTGGTGAGGCATGACTGTATGGTGGTGACGAGCAAAGAGTGCCTTCCCTATAGTCAGTGTTAGGTTCAACTCTACTTCTGTCCTTTTCCTAAACTGTAGGTTGGAAGATTGTTCTGAGACTATAGGCCATATATATGAGAGAAGAGCCATGTTCATTTATGTGAGCCCCAAAGAACAGAGTCTTTGTGCTACCCTCTGTTTTATCCTTCTCCTCCTCCTCTTGCAGCAGGTAGAAGAGCTGCAATTCTATGTTTAGCTCTGCAAAAGAAGAGGAAGAGACTGGTCCCTTCCCAGCTTTTTCTGCAGTTTCCCAGGCTCCAATTTTTTTTTTCATTTTCACACATTTCAATTCCCCGAGGATTAGGTTGGGAGGAAGAGAGCTCAAAGATGGTTTGTAAGAGTAACCCAGTGTTTAGTGGAGTCAGAAATTAAGAGCTAGCTTTGTCCATACGAGGTGGTCACCCTCTGATGGAGAGCTGAGAGGAGTGATGTTGTAACTGCCTGGCTGTGTGGCTGTAGATGCAATCACCCTGGGCTGTGGTCCCCCAGACTGCAACAAGAGTAGTAGTCCTGTTGGTGCCATTGTCCATGATTGCAGGATGTTACTGTGATCGCACTTATGAGCTGGCTTCTCTGTTTTCCAGAGAGTGTATTAAGGAGAAGCTCTAACAGAAGTATTTTTTTTTTTCTTTCTAGCATCCTGCCTTCCCTATATCCCAGAGAAAGGGACAGTTGGAGCCAGTGGAGACTTGGCCCCCCTCTCTCATCT